AATGGAATCATAGAGATTAATTTACCAAAAGTAAAACAGCATAAAGCAGCAGTGCTAGAATGTGAGCAGAGAGAGGGTACACTTCTGAGTTTACTTATGGTCTTAACTTCTACACACCTGCAAATACCTGGAAATTGTGATTCCTATAATGCAAATGGATGGAAGACACTTTCTGTAAAATCTCTTAAGCTCTTCTATCTTAAGCCTAGTCTTTTCCGCTACATCAAGACACAAGAATTTTTGAGATGATTATTTTTATTATGGGATTGGAAGAGAAAAATTGTGAACAGTTATGGAAGTAAGTGTAGAATGGCTAGCTCACAAGAATTACAAAAAAATATTCCACTAAAACTTTATATTAAAATGAACAGTCTTGAGGTCATAGTATACTTCTTCCAATTTTTACTCTCAGTCTCTAATAATATTATAATACAGAAATTATAGAATATGTATGTTTACTGGCTTCATTGATATTGCTATTATCATCTGCAATTGCACTACAACCAAAAGAAATTAAATAACATTTTAATATCTTATGTTTTATTATTACATTATAATTTTACATAACAGTGGTTCTCATTGTTACATATTCTCATAGGCATGTATTATAATTTATTTTAATTCATTTCCTTGTACTTTCCCTTGTCCTCATTACCTCCCATCCCCTGTTCCCCTTCTTCTACTCTTCTGGTTTTTCTTTAATTCATTTACATTTCTTATAGATGCATTATAATTATACATAAATGTGGGATTTACAATGGTATATTCACAATTCATATAGTATAGTTTTTAAGTGGTATGCAACAGTTCTTTCCCTTTTCCTCCTTACCTCCATCTTGATCCCCTAATTTTCCCCTACTTTTATTCTAACTTCTGTATTTGAGGGGAATTTAACTGATAAAAAAAAAGCAATAACTTCCCATAATCAATTACTTTTTTTTCTACATGTACATCATTGCTTCAAAATTTTTAAGATGACAGGTACATTGGGACCTATATCTTGGAAGAAATTCCATTGAACTCTTGAAAAATAATTGTTTTCCTTCCCTTATCATAGAGAGATATGCTGTAGTTACATTTTGGTGTAGATTTGCCAATTTATGCCAAAATATTTTATCAAAATCCTAGTGCAAATTAATAATCAAAAGGTTGTTCAAAATTTCTCTTTACTTTAGAGAATTTATTGCTTCTCATTTGCTTATAGACTAAAATATGAGATTAGTGATGGCTTGAAGTGTGTGTGAGCTGAGTAGTCATTTCTGTTTATCCCACGTGGTTTTTCTATGGCTATTAACAGAGAAAATATTATCTTCTCTCTACAACATTAATGTTCATAAAACAGATCTTGTTTTGTAAAATTAAAACCCATTTGTTTTTAAACTTTTTTTTTTTCATTTTAGTATAGAAAAGGCTGACAATAGACTCAAAATAATTCTCAGCAATTACTGTGACATTCAGCACAAAATGGAGCAAATATAACATTTTAGTGAATAAATGAATTATGGGATGGTGTACCAGAGATTGAATTTAGGAGCATTCAAACACTAAGCCAATCCCTAGCCCTATTTTGTATTTTTATTTAGAAACAGGGTTTCACTAAATTACTAAGCACCTCACTTTTCTGAGGCTTGATTTGAACTTGTTATCCTCCTGCCTCAGTCAACCAGGCCACTTGGATTACAGGCATGCACCACTTACACCCAGCTAAACCCTCTCTATTGTACTTAATGACATTCACCTAGTTTAATTAAATAACTATGTGGCAGCCATTCAAATATTCATCACACTTAAGATTATTCTGTGATCTCATTCTAATGACTGAAAGCAGTTTACTAAGGAGCCTGAAAAAGAGAAGATGAAATGAGAAACCTGAGGCTGCCACTTGCCTCTTGTGGCTGAGAACAGATGGACTAAGTACGGAACACTAAGTGCTGGTTTTAGATTATTTCAACAAATTAAATGACCAAGGAAGGACACCATCCAGTATTTCATCCATGTCTGAGAAAGGAAATGACACGTTTTTTTTTTTTTGGTTTTTTTTTTTTTTTTTTTTTTTTAAATTTCAGGGACTGCTTCTTCTTGGTTGTTGTTTCAGAATTTTTTTCTATTAAGATGATTTGTGGATATGACTAAACATGTGGTATGCGAATGGACCTGTAAACAACATCTAGTATTGTGGTCAGAAATTTCACAAGATAGCAGCATTAGATAATTATTATTTCATCAAACATTTATGTTCTATTTTAAGGGTATAGAGTTTTCACAAATAATAAATGACATTTAATAATAACCTAATAATAGATGGCCTGTGTTTAAAAATATCTTTAATAAACATATAAAATACTTATAAGCTTTTATAAACTGATTACTGTTGATAATATTTAAGTCAATTGACATCCAGTTTGTGACTTCATGAAAATATTTAAGATGGCCAAAGGGTGACCTCAGAAGGAGTATGTGGAAAACACATGATGAAACCTTATTTGAGATGGAGAAGCTCAAAATAAAAAGTCACATATAGAAGTGGGGATTGTGGATACATATTTTGCCAATATATGTAAAAAATAGCAATTTTGAGTGGAAAAGAATGTATTTAAAAGAATTTTAGCAAAACAGATTACCAAAAAAAGAAACCCATTTGGATGCTTGCAATATTCAGAGCAATAGACAACTTTAGCTAAGGGGAAAAAAGTATTCTATTTTGAACATTACCATATTTGCTAAGAAAAATATCCAAAAAAAAAAAAAGATGCAGAAAAATACCTTTCTCCCCAAGAACTTAAAGTGAGCTACAAGTAAATAGTTTCTAAAGTCTTATAGAATTCAGGAGTTTGGATAGTATTTTATGTCTTGTTTGCTAATTGGCCTCCAGGCTGAGCAAAGGCCAGACACCTGAGAAGAATTTAGTCAAGAAGAAAGAGTTAGCTGTTGGAATTAAGCCCTGTGTTCAAACTCCATCTCTGCAAGTCCCCGTACATGAAGAAACTCCTGAGCCTCAGTGTTTAATATGGAAAACAACTCTTAACTTGAGGGATTGTTAGGAAAATTAAATTAGACCTATCTGATTCTCTTATTACAATACCTAAAGTATAGAACCTGTCTATTTTTTTTAAATAAATAAATGATGAATATTGTATATTTTAAAAGGAATAATTTGTTCCTCTGCAAATAGTCTTCCTTCTTAGAGCTTCAATATACCTAGTACAAAGGCTTGGGTGGAGAGATTATTCAATCTCTTTACTTTTTATAACATCTTACCTGATTTCAAAGTTGCACTGTAGATATTCCTTTCACTGAAAACACATTATGGAAATGTTCTTCAATTGTATTTGAAAAAAAAATGTCTGGGCTTGGTAGCAATTGCCTGTAAACCTGCTTATTCAGGAGACTGAGGCAGGAGGATCACAAAATTAAAGCTAGCCAAGAAAATTTCATGGAACTCTCAGCAATTTAATCATCTGCTGTCTCAAAATAAATTTTAAAAATCTAAATAAAAAGACTCTGACTGTAGTTAGATGTTATTATGCACCTAAACCATTCAATAAACCTTTTATTTTGATTTTTTACTCTATGAGAAAACACATGATGAAAACACATGATGAAACCTTATTTGAGATGGAGAAGAAAATTACTAGAGAAAATATTACTAGAAAATCTTACTAGGGAAAATATTTTTGCATCAAAAGTTAAGATAAGTGCTAGGGATATAACTCATTTGTTAGAGTGTTTGCCTTGAAAGCACAAGGCCCAGGGCTCAATCCCCAGCACCACAAAAACAAACAAAAATAAAAAGTTAAGATAAGCTGAGTATGGTGGCACACACCTATAATCCCAGCAGCTTGGGAGCCTGGTGCACAAGAACTGTGAGTTCAAAACCAGCCTGAGCAACTTAACAAGGCCCTAAGCAACTCAGTGAGACCCTATCTCTAAATAAAATATAAAAATGGTCTGTGAATATGGCTTAGTGATTAAGCACCGCTGCGTTCAATCCCAGATACAAAAGGGGAGTGGGGAATGAAGAAAGATAAAGTTAAAGGTTAAAAAAAAAGCAAGCAAACAAACAAACAAAGAAAAAACCTACATGTTTACAACATCTAAGAAATTCAGAAAATTCAGTAATACAGAAAGCAATCTCCATATTGATTAATCCAGTAGACTTTGAAATAAAATGAACCTATTTATCAGTGTGGGTTCAACTAACTACAAAATTGGTAATTTAGGAGAAGTCACTTAACTTCTCTAAATATAAACGGTTTATATAATGAGAAAAATAATATCCTGAATAGTTTTAATGTTTAATGTCTTCAAACTAATCCCTAACATACCATAAGATCCTAATAAATGCTAAGTTTACTTGTAATGAGACTATTCATGGTAGTCATAAAGTTTTGCCAAATTTGAATGTAGACCTGCCTGTGACTTATTAATGCAATGGCATAATTTAGATGTGAGGGTATAGATAAGTAAAAATAAAGCATTTACTATTCTCTATTGACTAAATTCCTGCGTCCTTGCTGCCCTCCTCTCCACCTCTGAACTGTGTATAGGCAGGACATTGGGGTCTCCCACCTTAGCCAATAGGTAGGCCTGCATCACAGTACTCCCGGTGGTCAGCACCGTCAGCTCCCACTGGAGCCCCAGGTTGGAACTGGGCAGAGAGCTGCAGGTGGGGAAGGCTCAATGTGTGGGGTGGTGTGGAGGGGGATTAGGCCCTGAATGCAGAGGTGTTGGAGACTTAGGAGCTGGCTGAGGTAGTGCAGCTTATCCGGCATTTCCACCTCCTACTGGACAGAAGAGCCAGACACTGACCACAGTTCAGGAGGCGGACCTTCCAGGAGCCAATCACCGACAGCCAGGCAGATTGTGGCACGTAAGGGTGCGTGCATGCCTATGCACTTTTGTTTATTAGTGTCGCTTGGCAACGATTGTTTTAACAGTTGGTTGTCAGGTAGCTAATCTCAGAGCTGCCTTGGTAGGCTGCTTGATAGAGGTTGTTAGCGATGTCTCCAGGAATGGCCAGATCCTGTAGAAAGCTTGTTTATTTAAACCTGGGGATCAAGGTTATTGGATATAAACCCCTTGGGAAGATCCACCAGGCTGCCAAAAATTGTGAATTGGAAAGAATTGAACATTATCTGGGACATGGATATCATATTGATGACACCGACCAAAAAAATAGGTAATAGGGGCTGAAGGGCAAGGGGCCAATGGGAAAAGCTGGGCTGATGGAAAGGAAGCCTGCACTTTTCAGGCGTTGCCAATGGGGCAGAGCAGAAGGGAAACCAGTTCTCCTTTCACCAGGATGTTTGACTTAAATACCCGGTGGAGTCCTCAATATCCAGAACCTGCAAACTAGGTTTGGAAACAAAACTTCAGCTGGTTTCCCAGCCACTTATAATATCCCTATAGGATGACTGATTTTTAAAAAAAATGAATACACATAGTACTGGTAATGTACACATTTTCAAAAGCATTACAGAAAAGTGAATTATGAGAAAAGAGTTTCTCATAATGGAGCAACAGGAGGGCTAAATTAAATTTTTCAGATACAATCTACTATCTGTTGGGGCCTGAGGGCTTCACAAGAACTCTGAATTGGGAAGATGGCTCCATGTTCTTTCTTATTGTTTTATTTTTAAAATTATTTCACACTAGTATATTTAGGGGTGTGACTTCCACCCCTAAACATAAGATTTTACTTATTTCTCTCATGCTTCCTCACTAGTTCATCAAATTCTGAAGGATAACTTGGTGTCATCTTGATCATCTAACCATTTTCATAACAACAAGCCCTGAGTTTTCTGCAGTACTTCATTAACTTCAGTTATCTTCCCAGCGAGGACGATAGAGTTTATTGGCAGCTTTTACACTTTCCAAAACAGCAAACACAATATGCTTTTTGAATTTTGTCACCACTTCAGACAGACTACACTAAAAAAGCATCTACTAAAAGCTTCTTGCACAAAATTTCAAAATTGCTGATTCCACTGTTTAAATACCCTTTCCTGTAGTTATCCATTTCTGTGTATTTGTTCAAGCAGAGAGCAGAGCATTGATTGAGAGCATCCAGTCAGTGCAGGCTGTCAGTCACCAGGGCCAAGGGAGCAGCACACAGAGTACCTAGCCTGCACAGAGCTGCCTGCTGCTGCCCTATTGTACCTTGCCCTACCCTGTTCTGAAGGGAACAAGGTAGGCCTTGTTGGTCATTTGTGCTGATGAATACTTTTGACCCAGAGTGTGAGCTCTTTCTGTGGTTATCAATTTCACAAAAAACAAATAAAAATATCAGTACATTTTTTTTAGTTCCACATGCAGCCCTTTCTTAGTGATAACACTAAGAAACTGTTTACAATGAAAAAGGCTTGCCATTCTTTGTATCAAAATACATTATTAACTTTCACAAATTACTTGTTTCCAAGGGTCAAAAGATAAGTGACTAGAACAGGATAAATAGAATATCCAAATATCTGGAAGAACAGTAAAATGGAACTGGTAGTAGTGACATGCACAGTTTTAAATTTTGCACAGAAGTTACCATCAAATCATCTATTTGAGGAGAATTAAACAGCTTAACCTTAATCAATAGCCCAACACCACTGTTCTTCGTCCTCAAAAACATAGCTGAGGAATGTATTTCATTTGTTAGACTTAAATTATTTCTGTTACAAAGGAAACTAAATATTTTTTTCCATGTTCATATGTCACTGTCACTTGAGCATCTGTAAAAGTGACTTTGTCTGATTTAAATTAGAATTCCAGGGTTGGAAATGTAACTCAGTGTTAGAGCACTTTTTCCATGGCAAGGTCAATGGTAAGGGTACAATTCCCAGCACAACAACAGCAACATCATCATCTTCATCAGCAGCAGTATAATAGATTTAAAAAAGGGAGGTAGACAAAAAAAGAAAGTCTTTTTTTTTTTCAATTCATTCTCTCTTAGAACAGTGTTTGCCAACAAAAAGAAGCATTTGTATTTTCTTCTAGTACATTTCTGTATAGACATTCTATAGTACATTTCATCTATTGTAGATATTACTACACATATATTTCTTATATATGTATATTTTATTTCACATATGCAGGGTGGGCAACTTAGTGAGACTCTGCATCACAGTTTAAAAAAATAATTAATTATAGGTTAATAATTTTGTTTTGGTTTCATTCTGATGAAAATGTAAGAGCAAATATAAAAGATCATTACTACTGCAAAAGTATTTCTTTACTTTATAAAAATTTTACTTAAAAATACTGAAGTTCTCAACTATTCTTATCTATTCTTTAATCTATTCATTTGTACTCATAAACTGAATACTGCTTTTTATGCTCATAAATTGTACAGCTATTTATTTTGTAGTTGACATATTCTGCTATCTCACAGAACTCTTACATAAAAATTTCCTTTTAAGTGACCAGTTAACTAAAACTGAAGTGATAGGCCTCAATTTCAAATGAAATTCTTTCTTCTTTTCAATCAAGCATTTATGGAGGTAGAAAATTATAAACTTCCTTTTGAAAAGTTAAGATCATATTAAATGCTGAACATTGGAAATATCTGATTTGCATATATCCTATATATTTAAATGCTGAATGAATTTAACCATACTAATTTATTTGGGTCCTTTTTCCTTTGGTTTTAAGTTACTTAGAAATAAATAAGATAAGCAAGGATTAGTTTTCTTTCAGTTTGGTCTTTTGCTATTATTATTCAGCCTATTTTATCTATAGTATTTTCAAGAATTAAACTTAATTTAAATGCCATCCTTGTGACTAAAACAGCCATAATCTATTGTCTCACATTTCATTTAAGGTAATACACCATGAATTATGATGGTCCTTTATTTTGTATATGAAGAAAAAAATTAAATGCTGCCAATTATAGTTGTAATGCAACCTGAATTATTAGTGGCATTTTAATGTCAGTATTGTTAAAATGATAGGGAGAAAAAGCATCTAAGTCTCATTGAAATACATAGTTTTTAAAAGATATCTGTCAAAATTACTATAATGCTACTAATTAATTAATTGAAATACTCTGTTGATTGGTTCCTATTGTAATTAATTATTGAGCTGTTGCTTGTGTTAGAAACTCTTTAGATATTTTACATGGGTTCTCCATTAAGCAACCCAGTAGTATCCTGAGAAGTAATTATTGTTTTTAATCCTTACTTTATTAGTGAGGAAACTGAGAGAGAGGAAGATTATGGAATAAATAGTATTTCACAGAGCTTAAAGTAGAACTCAAATCAAAGATGAAATTGCAAGGCCATGTTCTTTCTAGGCAAGTGGACTGCTCTGCTCTGGGGATGTGGTTCTATGGTAGAGACCTTCCTTACCCAGAATGCCTCAGGACTGGGTTACATCCCTAGCATCACAGAAACAAAGCAAAAATAAGTAAAATCAATGAAATAAGGCATGGTGGCACAAGCCCATAATTCCAGTGACTTATGATATTGATGCATGGGCATTGGAAGTTCAAGGCCAGGGAGGGCAATTTAGTGAGACCCTGCATCCCAGTTTTAAAAAATAATTAAAAAGTGCTTACGATATGACCCAGTAGTTGAGTTCCCTGGGGTTCAATCCCCAGCAGTATCAGAAACAAGAAATTTTTAAAAAAGTGTCAATGGCATAGGTTGATCCTTTATTAATTTAATAAGTAATAACAGCTAGTAAATATTGTACCTTCTTCAGAAGAAAATAGAGGAATTATATGCTATTTAATGTTTATAATTGCATGAATAGTTGTATATTTCAAAAGGTGCCTTATGAATTTTTAATAAAGCCTCTTACTTGCATAGAATCCCTCTACATTATGCCTGTGCCTATGGAAATCCAGCAGTGGTGGCTCTTCTAGTGAAGAGGAAATGCAGTGTCGACCTGTATGACAGTGATGGCAACACACTGTTGATGAAGGTAGATGTAGCCAATGGTTTTGCAGTAAATGAATTTGATTGAAATGCTTAGAAGAAAAATTGGTTAATGCCACTTAGTTATAACTGATTAGTAAAATGTGAAATATTTTTCTTGAATTCCCCAAATTTACAATCTATTTCTTGGTTAAAACCAACAGGCCGTACAATACGAGGAAGAGGAATGTGCAATTATTCTTCTAGAAAACGGTGCCAATCCAAATGTTCACAACAACAAGGGTGAAACTCCTCTCCACTGTGCTATGTTTTATAGGAACACATCAATAGCAACAAAACTGCTTTCATTCAACGCAGATATTGAAGCCAAGAACACGGTATACATTAATCACCTTATTTCCAAAATACTTGAAATATGTTTCTTTAAAATCAACAGTGATGTATGTTAACAAATACTGATTATAAGCAGAATTTTCTCAATTAGAATAGTAGCAAATGATGGAAGTTCTTCTCGTATTCTTCCTCCTTCTTTTGTAGCTCATGTGTATATTTAGTTTGCCTCCTTGAATTGCATCTACATTTAGAATCCAAGAGACTCATGCAGAAATCTGAACTTCAAGCTTCTGTGAAGGAATCTGATGTGGTACCCCTTGAGCCATAGTACTGCACGGTGTGGTGTGCAGGGTTTGCCTCTCACATGCTGGGCATACATGTTCTTCAGTTGGCATACTGGCAACTGCAGCATTCACTCAGATCACCTACTTTGCCTCTATGAATGAGGTTACAACTACTCTTTTATAATATATTTTGATAAAGATTTCTTGGTGGTTTCTACTGATGTACAAGAATATGTCCCACATAATATATTATGAATCTCTTTGAAATGGGATTAAATTTTTGAATTTAGAATTGGGCACTTAAATAGTTTTCTTTCTGTACACTATAAAAATCATGTTCCCATTGGAATTTTTGTAAGCCTGATTAGGTTACTCATTGCTAGAAGTGGATAAATTATTGCTAGAAGTAGATAATTCATGGATTTTGCAAGCTGTACTATGTACATGAGTTATCAATTTTGTTCATTAAAAATACAAGTGATTTAGTGTCTTTCATGATGCTAAAAATAATCTGTATAAATCAGCATAAATATTGTTGATACACAAAATTTCTGAATTAAATTTTGCCTAAAATTATAAATAACTTTAAGTAGCAATTAAAGTGGAACCAGAGTAAAAAAGAATTTTGGAAAGTAGCTTAGCATTATGTTACTAGGATTATCATTACAAGTAAGAATACATTTTCAATATTATTTTTATTAGAGTTTATAATTATACATAGTAGTTGGGTTCATCCCAACCGCAAAATCATACAGGCAAGGAATTCCAGTTGAGTTCATGATCCCCTCTTTCCCCTCCTGTCCTACCACTCCTCCATACTTCTGCTTCTATTCTCCTGGACTTCCTCTCACTTGTCTATTTATTTATATTTGATTGTTTATTTGCACTTATACATAAAGGTATATATATATATGCATGTAACATGATTTTTGAAGAATTCATTCTTTATTGCCTTCCCTTTCCCATTTCCACTGTTTCTCTCAGTCTCCTTTTTCTACACTAATGATCTTCCCTACATCTTTTGATATTCTATTTTTTAATATCTTTATTTTTTTATTTTTATTTTATTTTTAAGAGAGAGTGAGAGAGAGAGAGAGAGAGAGAATTTTTTAATATATTTTTTTTTAGTTTTTGGCAGACACAATATCTTTTGATTGTATGTTGTGCTAAGGATCGAACCCAGGCCGCATGCATGCCAGGCGAGTGCGCTACCACTTGAGCCACATCCCCAGCACTTTTTTTTTTTAGATATTTATTTTTTAGATGTAGATGGACACAACACAATGCCTTTATTTTTATGCGGTGCTGAGGATGGAACCTGGATCCTGCCCATGCTAGGCAAGCGCTCTACTGCTGAGCCATAATCCCAGCCCCCACTTTTGATATTCTGTTTTTCCCTTATCTTTTTCTTTAATTTCAGCTTCCACATATGAAACATTTGACCTTTGAGTTTCTTAGCTTAACTTATTTCACTTAGCATGGTATTCTTTGTTTCCAAACATTTACCAGCAAATGGCATAATTTATTCTGTATGGCTAAGTAATACTCCATTGTATGCATGTGCACTACAATTTCTTAATTATTTTATATATTGACATGCACCTGGGTTGATTTCATAATTTACCTATTGTGAATTGTGCTACTGTAAACACACGTGGCTGTATTACTATACTAGGCAAATTTTATTTTAGTAATTTTGGGAAAATACTGAGGCATGGGATAGCTGGTTCATGTTGTGGTTCCCTTCTTAGATTTGGGGGAATCTCCAAACCGTTTTCCAGAGTGATTGTACTAGTCTGCATTCCCACCAGCAGTGTAAAAATGTGCCTTCCCCTTACATTCTTGCCAGCATGTATTATGTTTGTGTTCTTTATCATTACCATTATGGCTGGAGTAAGATAAAGTCTTAGTGTAGTTTTGATTTGCATTAACCTAATTGATAGGGGTGTAGAAGAGTTTTATATATATATGACATTTGTGTTTCTTTTGAGAAATTTCTATTTAGTTATTTTGCCCAGATATTGACTGGGTGCTTTTTGTTTGTTTGTTTTTAATATTTATTTTTTAGTTTTAGTTGGACACAATACCTTTATTATTTTATGTGGTGCTGAGGATCAAACCAGGGCCTTGCATGTGCTAGGTGAGTGCTCTACCACTGAGCCACAACCCCAGCTCAGTGTTGTTTTTTGGAGTTGGTTATTTCTGTTTGTTAATTCCCCATCAGTGGATTAGCTGGCAAAAATTTTCTCCAATTTTGTAGGAAGAATATATGTTCATATTGAGCTTTCTAACAGGTAAGATAAATGTCTTTCATCTTATAATAAAAGAAGACACAGGGACCAATTATGAAAAAGAAACATAGTTTATTCAAAGTCTATTGCTTTTAAGCAGGAATGCCTGACATTGATATCTGGAATTCTGATTCCATAAATAGAAGAGAATCAAGAGGACTTGTATAACATGGAGGACACTTCCATGTCATTAGAAAGCTCTCAGGACTATATCCCTGAAACTTGAATTCTTCACATGTGAATATGTACTATGAAAAATCAATGTCAAATAGGTATTAAGAAATGGGAAAGCTATTTATGTAATACTGGACATACAGTGCACAGTTTCTGTAAAACAAGGAATATTTCAGATGAGGGTTTGTATTTCTGGAAAAGTAGATATTCTTCAGAAAATGATTGATTCACCCTACTAGTGAGTTGAAAATTTGGCTTGTTAATTAAATATAATACTTACATCGTTTACTAATATGTGTTAGGGAATGGGGCTACCGAGATATAGTTCATGTCCTCTAGACACTCTTGATTGAGGTGGGTGCAGGTTACTTAATCCCAAGATGCCATAATGAATGCTGTGACAGAGGCAAAGATCTGTGGAAGCAGTAAATGTTTGAAGCAGTTTTAGAAATGACTGGAGTTCATGTGTCCACTCTAGAGACATTTCAAAATGAAAGAGCAGCATATATGGAAGCAGAATGGGAAGAGAATGGAGTGGCTACACTTAATTTACATTATTATTATATGCTTATATTCATACAGTATTTTGTAAGGTTAAATTCAGTTGAGAAGTAGTAATTTTGTGAATAAACTATTTTTGTTGTTTTTCTTTTTTTCAGAGTGGACAAACACCACTTTTATTCGCCCTAAAGAAAAACAGACAGATGATGGTAGAATTTTTTATTAAGAATAAAGCAAACATACATGCAGTTGATGATAAGGGACGGTATAGTACTTTATTATTTTTTTGAAAAATCTTAATATTGTAGTAAAAAGTCACTCAATTTAAAAATATTAAGTTAATGAGAATGACATAATCATTGGAATAGAGTGAAATATATGAACATGTATGAAATATATGAACAAAAGATACCTATAATTAGGGAGAAAAGCAGTTATTCAAATTCAGCAACAAAAATGAGGGTGTGTAGTATGATTCACATGCCCAGATAATTATTGGCTTATCATTATTATTTGATTTTATTGATCATATGATCTTGTGTTAGCTAGAATTTTCATATTAGTTATGTAAAATATGGACTTTTAGTTTGCTTTTTTTATTAAGTATTGAAATTTTTAAACTTTGTTATTTTTATCTTTGGCTGGTATAGTTTTCTTTTGGAAATGCTGTGTTGAGCATAAATAGACATTGAAAATAATTTTGTCCTTTGGATAATTGTTTGCATTAAATATTGATTTTAGATTTTTTTCAAAGTAAGAGTTAATTGCTATTGACAGATTTTGTCCATTTCTAATGAAAAAGAGAATAACATACATTTAAAGGCTGGTTGCAAGATTATACATGTAGCATTTATTTCAGTGCCTGGAAATGCTTCTCAGAGTGAATGACTGAAGCAACAATGACTATTATCATCACCAGTGCTATTGTTATTATGGTACGCCTGAAAATATCTTTTTTACTTCTTGACCTTTGGCTGACTGTGAGCTACAATATATTACATTGTCCTAGGCAGAAAATTGAGCTTTATTCATTGAAATCTGTGCCAGCTGAAGATGAATGACCTTATCATAGTTACTGTGCATTGAAGGATTTTTAAGTTTGTAACTCTCCCCTTTTGGGACAAGATATTTCTTTTTTGTGTGTTTGTTTTCCATTTAGACTTACAGATGATTTTCAAAGATAAAGATTTGATCTTTCAAGATGTTTGTGTATGTAAACAAAACAATCTTTCAAAATATTTGTGTATGCATGAAATGATCTTTTAAGATGTTTGTATCTGTTAGTTTATGTAAAGCTATATATCAAATTGGTAAAATGTAATAAATTGTCTGTTTAAATAAATTTATTAAAATACCTAAGGTTGAAGTTATCTCTCTTATTTTAGAACAGCCCTCATGTTTGCTGTGGAGCATAAGTCAACACAAATAGTTGAACTGCTTCTTCAACGAGGTGTTAATGTGTCTGCTTCAGATAACTATGGACAGATTGCCTTGTCTTATGCCATTGCTAGTGGTAATACTGTGTAAGTATTTACATTAAAATACTAATCAGCATTAGATTTAGATCCACAATAGTTATATCTGTTGCATCTCACATGAGGTAAGATTTCATAGTATAACTATGCATGGAACAGTAGTTAGTTATGACAGTTCATCAGTCAGAAACCTTTCAAAAGTCTAGCCAAGAAGTAGTGATGAAAGTTTGATTTGGTGAAGAGGAAGGAAGGGGAGGGCAGGGGTCATGGTGGCAGGAAAGATGGAATGAGATAGACATTATTACCTTGGTACATATATGACTGCACATATGGTGCAATGTTACATCATGTACAATCAGAAATAAAAAAGTTGTGCTGCAATTGTATAACAGGAATCAAAATGCTTTCTGATGCCATATATACATAATTAAAATAAATTAATTTATAAAAGCAATGATGCATTCATGAATCACCTCCAAAGTTTTTTCTCTCCTCTTTCCTCCCTTCTCCTTACCTTTTCTTCTCATGCATACTAGGAAATTTTTCTACAACTGAGATATACCACTAACCAATATTTTAGAACTTTCTAAACCTTTATCCTTAGGGTTTCCAGCATTATCCATTTCATTTCAAGTATAACCCCTACTCATGGGTACAAATAGTATCACACCTATGATTTTTCTAATTAGCTATTTGAGTCTTGAAATGCCCAATTTAGCAGAAGTTAGCTATTCTACCATCCTCTTTCAATTTATCAAGGACCTAATGATATCTTAGAAACTTAAGAAAGATATTTCTGTAGTCAGATGGAGGGGGATAAAGGGATTTAAAATTGTTCCTTTGTCTCTGTCAGTTCTGTTACTGCAGTGTTTCTGCCAGAACTGACCCTGAAGACTGGTAGTGAATAGTTTTTATTACAACCTGTTCTGACTGATCCCAATCCCTGAGTCTTCATGGTAACACACACTTAGACTCAAAAGTTACAACACTCTTTTTAGTTCACATGCACTCATGATTTTTTACTCAATGACATCTTTCCCAAGCAGCAGCACTCTGCTTTGACAGTTTGGCCAACAAATATTAAGCACTCTGACCCTGTCCCCCTTTTAGGAATCTTATGTGGAACTCCCATATTAGCCTCACCCTTTCTGGTGCATTATCCTATGAGGAATTTGTCTTTTCTGTCCTAAAATTAAAATCATTCAAAGCTATCAGAGAACTTCAGTAATGCCACTGGAAGAGATCAGAGTTTTCTGTCATCTTGGCTAACATCTGGGACCCGAATCCTTCCATCCCTTGAAATAGATTTCTTTTGACTGTAGGGGACCCCATATCACTGTTTCCCAGAGTGGGTGCCAACTTTTGATTGGCACCTCTAGAGGTTTGTTTTCCCGTGTAATGAAAAATTTCCAAGCTTTTGGAATCACTGCCTAAAGTTTTCAGCATTTATCAAGTTCTACCTCAAAAGGAAGAGATTAAGCAGATTCATTGAATCTAAGAGAACTAAGCCCCATCATGACCTCTCAGTATCCATTGTGTTAGAGGATTTTAACTTCCAAGTCAGTTGGAGATCAACATGGAAATGTAGCTACTCTTACAAAGGTCTGCTGATTCTTTTCAACTAGGCAGAGAATAAATAGTAGTAGTCCAAGCCAGTTCTTGGCATTTGTTAATTTCTTGCCTTTGTTATTGATCAGCCTCACAAAAGGGGATTATTATATTCTCTAATTTAAGGAGGCATTTATAGAATTAAAAAATAATTGCTGATTTGCTCTGAGTTACAAAGCACAAAGAAGAGCCCAATTTATAATGAAAATTAGGACTCAAGCATTTTTTTTTAATAATTTCAACATTTGAATATTAGAACCTGTGAAAAATACACATTAGTTTTAGTTGAGATTCTAAGTAGTTATATTGCCATTATTTTACTATTTTGCTTAACAACATTTCTATATTATCTTAGTAAATCTTCATAACAACTTGGTGAACTAAAGTGATAAAACCCTTAATTTTAGAAGGCCTTATGCCTTAGAGAAAGGACTTGTGCAAGAACAAGAAGCCATTTTTCACAGAGACAGGGCATTTTCTGAGTTCAAGCTACACTAGTTAATATATTTACCTGTCTTGTCTCAATGCATGATCATTTCATCTTATATTTTTCTTCTTTAATTACAAGCTATGGGTGCAGTGGCACATGCATTTACCCCAACTACTTGGGAGCCTGAGGTGGGACAAATGCTTGAGCCCAGGAATTCAAGATCAGACTGGCTATCATCATGAAATGCCATCTCAAAAACAGAACAGAACAAACATTGTACAAATAATTTTCAAGTTAATAAAATGTCTATAGGGCATACAAATTTGGAGAGCATATAAAAAAGTTCTGATACTAGATCTAAAATATTAAGTATTGAATTATGTTTTGTCAATGTTTTCTTGTGTATATTAAAATACCAATTTTATTACTTTTTCAAACCTAGCAACAGGAATCTAATTCTTCGACATATGAAAGCACAATCTAGAACATCAATAATTTTCAGTACAGGTAAGACTTACAAAAGTGAGTTACTCTTGGGGTTCATGCCCTGTTAAATGAAAGTAAGATAATTTGATCACAAAAGAACAGTGGAAAAAAATGAATGTTCAAATTCCACTCATATTTGTTCTTAATATCTTTCTAGATCCTATAGAATCCAGGATAATTTAGTAATTAATTGTAGGAACTTTATCATCTAAATGATATTGTCTGAAGAAATTTCACGTTAATTTTGAACCTGAAATTTTATGCCTTGCAGAAATAAGAAAAAATATTTTTAAATTAGTACTTGTGTTTTGTACATGGTGAAATGATAGCAAATTTGACTTGTTATAAAAACAGGTGTTTTTGTCAACTATTAATATCAACTCCTATTGTGTGCACACATTAGTGAATTTCACAGTGATATTTCTATATACACAAATACAATACTTGAATCCTGACCACTCTTCTTACTTTCATTTTTCCCCTTCTTTCTTTTTCATCCCCAGTTACCTTCCCTCTTTATTAGTAATACCTCCATCATTTTCTAGTCATTCTTATTTTCTTCCCAGATTCCACATGTTAGGGAGAGCATGTGATAATTGGATTTTTTTCTGATTTTTTCATCTTAACGTGATGACCACCCCTTCCATTCATTTTATAGTTTTTATCCTTATTTCTTCTTTCAAACTTTTTATTCAGGGTTTGAAATATACCATTTCCTAATATCCTGGGCCTTAAAATTTCTACTCAGAAATCTGAAATTTTTCTGATGTGTTTATAATTGCTTTGGCCCTACTTATAAATTTCAGTTTACCTTTGGTAATTTTATAGACTATGATTTGGAGAGGTTCTTTTCTGGTCATGTCCACTTGGTGTTCTAAAAGCATATTATACCTGGATGTCCATAAGTTTCACAAGATTTAAGAAATAATTTCTTTTATTCACTGAAAAAGCTTGCATTGCCTGTAGAATGTACCTCTCCTCCATTGTGATTCATAAGAATAGTCTATGAATTGTGTCTATTTGATTTGTGAGTTGTTTATAATTCTTTTGTTGTTGGTATTGTCTGAATGTGATATTTCATCATCAACTTCAAGCTCTGATATTTTTTTCTTTCACTTTATCTAGTCTATGGATCTGATTTCAAGTGGATATTTTTATTTGAGATATTGGGCTTTTTATTTTCAAGATTTATAATTGATTCTTTTTCAGAATCTTTATTGAACTGTTCTTTCATGTCCTGCATTGTTTTCCTTAATTTATTCAGCTTTTCTTTGCTTTATCTTTGAATTAATTCATTATTTTAACATTTTGTTGACATTTTTTCGTCATTTTGTCTCTTGCAGTATCTTTGGAAATAGTTTCTAGAGTTATGAACTACGAAACAATCATGCATATCTTTTTATTTTTCTTATATTTCTATATTGAAAATTTACATCTTCAGGTATATATATCTTTTCCACATTTATGTGAGAGTCTGCTTAGGAAATAGCATTCTCTGCATGTTGCATCTTATGCTATTGGTTTATTGCATAATGTTAAATTATTTTCCAAATGTAGTTTCCTATGTCTTACCTCTGATTTATAAATTGTCATAGTTTACACTGTCAAGTTCTTAGGTAATAATTTTCTGCATCAGTATTCTGAGAGTGAAGTCATGTTGGTGGAATAGTGATATAGGCAGTAGAGTATCTGAAATGCACTTTCTGTGGTGGTTCCTCCAAACTTGTCAATAATGTGCTCTAAAAGGATATGGGAGAGACCTAGCCTGAGGACCTGCATAATTCCATAAGAGTTGCTTCATTTATTTCTAGTCTTGCTTTAGAATGAGTGTCCAGACCCTACTGAATTTTGGTCATCTCTATCCATTACTAAATGGGAATGTTAGGTGAAAACACTTTATCTCTGTTATTATTTTAATTTTTTTAGCACCGGGTTTTATTTGTTCTTTTTAGATATATATGACAGTAGAATGTATTTTGTACATACATGGGCTATAACTTATT